CCACCTGTGTGGCACCCCCTCCCAGCACTTCCTCAGTCTCATCAGAACACACATTGCACTGGGCCCTTTAACTTACCGTATAAGCCCATGTTCTTGGCATAGGACTGGCAGAGGCAGACATTAATGCCCTGTTCGATGAAGTGGCGCACAGCCCAGGCATCCTTGTTTCCATCGCCGCTGGCAAAGCCTTGGTAGGCCATGTCAAAGAACGCAAAGAGATTGTTTTTCTGGGAAAGAGAAGGGAAGATCAAAGCTTTAGGTAGTCCTTCTAAGATGCCCAGGTGGTCACCTGTGCTCATGGGGACCAGATCTGCCTCACACAGAATCGACTAGTTTTCTCCCCAGATGGCAGATTGGAAATGTTTCAGTTTCTTAAGAGCTAAGACATCAACATCTATTTTTTTACTCTGGTTGGTAAAAGAAGGTCCCTAAAGGAGACATTAAGAAAGGAGAATCTTAATCTTCATCTTCTCAGAAAGCTTAGTCAAAGAGGAAGCTCCTTTTAGGCCCACAGTGGTCTGGGTCATTATTTCAGTCTCGTCAGCACAGGACCAGCATCCGCCTTTTCCGGGGCTAAGGTCACCCTGGCAGACTCATTGTACACCCAGGGCCCACAAACGGCCACCTTAGAGCCACCTCATCCTGAAAGTGCTCTCTGAATGCCATTTCTCTGGCTCATTCTGTTTGCAGCTGAGGTTGGACAGAATGTAAAGAAAGGGGAACCAAGAAGAGTGAAAACGGGGGTGGGAGGGAGAAGGAACATCTTCCTCCCTAGGAATCCTGACTCACACCTCCTCTGCCAGCTGACCCCATGAATGATAATGGCGACGCCGAGGGAAGTGGTGAGGACAGGAGGGGACACAAAAAAGTGGAAAAAGGATGGCCGAGTGACCACTGACCAGGACAAGTACAGACACCACCAACGGGCACCTGGGGTCGGGGGATGCCAACTGTGCAGGCCAGCCAATGACAAGTTTTACCAGAATTCCCTAGACCCAGGCTGAGGAACAAACATTATGTTCACCCTGCTCATGCAGCATCAATCACAGAATTGCTAATCATGCAAATGCGGAGCTCTTTCTTGGACATTAATAATATGTGGAAACTTCATGTGGGCTCAAGGTAATCAACTGTCACTGTTAAGACATTGCCAGGTTCGGCCAATGTGGCTCAGTGGTTGAGCACTGACTTACGAAGCAGGAGGTCATGGTTCAATTCCCAGTCAGGGCACATGCCCAGGTTGCGGGCTTGATCCCCCGTCAGGGGCGTGCAGGAGGCAGCCGATCAATGACTCTCTCATCATTGATGTTTCTATCTCCCTCCCTCTCTCTCTGAAATCAATAAAGATATATTTTAAAAAAAAAAAAGACATTGCCAGGTTAGGCATCTAAGGCTGGTTACTCCAGGCAGAACTGTCACCAGTCAGTCCACCCTCCTCACCTTCACCACCGTGGCTATCTCCTTCCACTGCTCGGGGCGAGGGTCCACGCCAGTGGGGTTGTGGGCACAAGCATGCAGGAGAAGAACACTTTGCTGTGGCATTTTCTAAAAAGACAAACAACCAAGAGATCACTCTGCAGCTGGAAAAGGAGATACTTTACCTGAAATGCCATATGGTCACTACTTGGAAAATAACAAAAATAACCTGAGGTTTAAGAGTTACCTCATCCCAAGTATTTTAAGGCAGGTATTGAGACCAAGCTGGGAGACGTCAAATCTCCACAAGGTTTATTCCTGGTCTCTCCCTTCCCCCCGCCAAGCCTCACTTACTGAAATGTCCTCCATAGCACCAGTGAAGTCAAAGCCGCACGTCTTGGGGTCATAGTATCGATAGCCCTGCAGCTGCATGCCAGCATCCCTGAAGATGGGCGTGTGGTTTCCCCAGGTGGGTTTGGGCAGATAGACATCTCGGCTGAACTTGAAAAATCTTTGCTGAGAGATGGGATGAAATGGAATGAAAAAATGATGAGAGGGGAAAAAAAAGGTTGAAAACACAGCTCCTTCCTCTGATGGAGAGCCAGTACTGAGAAAGCAGCAAGATGGCCTGGGTGGAAAACAGGCTCTGACAGTTATACAGCTGTGTAGCCAAGGACCCACCTGGGCCTCACTCTCTTCATTTATCCAATGGCATTAACTGAACCTCCTTCATAAAGATTAAACGAGTTAAAATATAAAAGCTCCCAGTAACAGAATGTGCTCAATAAGTTATACTTATTATAATGTTATCCTATTATAATTATAATAACATTGTCTTTGTGATTTCTAAATACTTTCATTTTTAACTCCGAGTCCATTTCCCAGGGAACAGGAAGTCTTCCAACTTTGTGGAAAGAGGAAATGTACGTCTGGGTCAGCAAAGGCACATGCACTAGGAAATCCCGTCATCCTCAACTTATAGCTCTTTGCTGAAGGAATTTCCAGACTCACCAGAAAACTGGCTCCGATCCTTAAGGCCCCGGTTCCAGAAATGGTCTGCACGGTGACATACTGAAAGAGAGACACCCACAGTCAGCGAGGCGTCCCACTCTCTTAATTCAACAAGACAGAGGTCAAGCGTATGGATACTGTCNCACCCACAGTCAGCGAGGCATCCCACTCTCTTAATTCAACAAGACAGAGGTCAAGCGTATGGATACTGTCTCAAATGAGTATTTAGAAACGAGAGAACAGTACTGTTTCATTCCCGCATTTGCTAAGTGACAGGCTGACTTGACTCTCCTCATTGGTTCCAACACCTTTGCTGGTGCAGAAACAAATTCCTTATGGCCTGTTAGTAGTATCATTCCGTGTTACACGGAAAACTTTCAGGACACAAAATCCCACCTTCTCAGTGAAAAGGGGATGGTTTATATGGAGGAAAAAAGACACTAAGAATGCTCACTACATTAAAGCATTATTGCAGAATTATACAAAATTGAATGACTCTCTGAACACCCAAGTTCCTTGAAGAGCAAGTCAACGAGTTTGTTAGAATAACATTACTACATGTTAACGTTGTCTAAGAGGCTCCTTTTGTGAGTTTTCAGAATCTGAAATATTCATCCTTTGGGTAGATGCCTGAGTAAATCTGTTTCTTTGAATCTGATGAGTAGGAAACCACAGTAGGGTTTTTTTTTGGGGGGTGGTGGTGGTGTTTTTTAAGGCGCCATAGAAGCAAGGCTCTACAAAACATCAACCAATTTTCTGGACTGGCAGACACTGGATTAAATAGGAGGAACCTAACTGACTCTTTACTAAAAAAGTTTGTCTCTGCAAACTTTGGTGTGACAGAAATAAAAACCTTAATGTTGATCTGACAATACTAATGATTCGCAAAGGCAGAGCAATTTAGAAAAGACAGGCTGGTGTTATTTTAAGATAGGCCAGTTTTGTACTTAGGTAACGACTAACTAGATGTACACAGGCTAAACAAAAATTACAGGGAAAAAAAAAAAACCCAGGAAAAAAAAAATAACCCAGAGGGGTTAACAGGTGGTTGACTGTATGGACATCAGTCAAACCATATTCTGTCCATGATTTGTGGTCACAACTGCATCACCACTGGGTCAAGGTTGTACGCTTTGCTTTGAGTCAATGAACTAACTCGTGGATTTAGACCAGTCTTGTAAATAAAATGTATTTATTCTGGCCTCTGAGGGGTGGGGAGGGGAGAAATGCTGGCTTAGTTTTGCTACTTTGTGTGTTTCCCCAGACTTACAAAGAAAAAAAAAATTTAAACATACAAATGTATCCATTAAAAAAACATTTGTTTCAAAAGAAAGTAAACTATAATGCACATTAGCCCTTGTTTTAGGCAAGTTGTTTGGTGGTCTGGCTATATCCCACCTGCATGAGGCTAATCTTCTATTACAAGAGTGGGCCTGCAAATATCCTGCAGATGCATACAGGAATCTGTGTGCAAAATGCTTATTAAGTCCAGTGACCTTTAGGTCCATCTCTCTTCCACAAGAAGGAGGAGACAACTAAGGGACACTTGTGTTCTGCCATCATGGCTGCAGTGATGCTCTCTGGACCTATGAGAGAGGAGGGAGGTGGCAGGAAGGGAGCATGGTCTACTCTCTTCCAGTATCCAAGCTGGCTGTGAAGAGCAGAGGAGCGCCAGGCTGGTCCCAGCTGCAATAGTCTACCTGTGGCTTGTTACCTGCCTGCTTCCTCCATCTGAGCTGGAAGCTTAGGACACGAGGGTGGGGGCTAACTATAGGCTCAAAGCTAGGCATGGTTTGGAGTTTCTAAAGCATATTTAATGTAAAATGAACATAAGCACACAGAGACTAATGGAAAAGCAGTGTCAAATCTATCAAATTACCACTACATTTCTGGAATTGGTGTTATAGGAAATCTTTTTTTTCATTAGTGCCAATTTACTATCTAAAGAAGAGATATCAGCAAAAGTGTGGCTACCTCAAAACAATCACCACACACAAAGTTGCATATCTTTTCTTATTTAAATTATCTCAAATTTGTTTAAATTATTACATTTAAAAACAGACTCTGTATGATCCCAGAATTTGCTCCACTTACCCGGCCACTTTTCAATACTTCGCTGTTCTCACCCAGGGCGAGTTCTGCAGATGCCTTACAGAACTCAGCCAGTCCCCCAATGGGCAGGTATTCTTTGTCCAGATTTTTTCCAGCAATCTGAGCCTCTGCCTAGACGAGAGAAAATGCATCCGTTTAGCTGTTTCTTACCTGGAATTACCTTAATACAGGGTAGGACAAAAGTAGGTTCAGTTGTTCATATGGAAAATAATACTATAATTAATAGTAACAGAAAAATGAACTGTTTCGAGTACTCGAGAATTGTAAACCTACTTTTGCCCTACCCTGTATTTAATGTTTTAGAATCAAATTTTGAAGGTAAAGCCTTGTTTTATTTGGATACTGTCCCAGAAGAAAAGGAAGTAGAATACTTTATATAATATATTGAAGAACAGAAATATTTAATTTTCTTTCAAAGTTCAGTTTTATGTGGATGGGTAGATACCGCCTCTTGGTTACCATTTAACATAAAATGGCCTTCTTGGAATGCACAAGAACAAGGTTTAAGGGCATCGCTAATTAACATTTCGAGTCTCAGTTTCCTCATTTGCTGAATGGGGGAACTGTTTCTGCATCTCGTGTGGTCGAGGTGAAGAGCTGATGAGCTAATGTACGAAGTGTGCGGTAGGGTTCCGGCTTACAGCAATAGCTAACACTTGCTGATTACTCTGAACTGATTTATTGAGACCAAAAGCAAGTCCAATTTCCCGAGTCCTTTTTGCTACTCAGAGGCTTCCAGCATATTCATATTTCAGTGGAAGAGGAACAGATGCAAATGAAGACATGCTTTCTTTAAAAAAATTACTCTTAGGGGATTAGCTATAATAACAAAAAAAACTAATATGCAACAAAAATAGTGAAAATTATGCAATAGCTCGATAGGAAGAAAGGACAGAGCATGTCTGTGTAGGAAGGTGGGCTTCGCCAAGGCCATCAAAATGAGAGCAGTGGAAAATAGTAAGAGTAACCCTGATCCATGAAGGCCTGTTTCTGTCACCAAGAGACAGTGTTGAAATTCTCGGTCCTTTCGTGCACCCTCAGAATTAACCACGACATTATGCCTCTTTTATGGACAAGCACAGGAGTTCAATCTTGGAAAAGACCATGCAGTTCCAACAGCTCACTTTTACAGCCAAGGAGACCGCAGCCTAGACAACCTAAATGATTTAAGCAGTTAGTACCAGAACCTGAACCCAGGTCTCCTGACTCCTGGTCCAGCAGTTTCTGCCGCTCTCCAGGCGCTCCCTCCAGTTTATTTATCCCAATCGGGCGGGAGGTGGGTGGCAAGCTCACCTTCCGGATACTAGGGAGCACGTAAGGTTTTCCATTATCGTCCCGGTAGGCACCAACTCCCAGGTTCATCTTCTTGCTATTGGTGTCTCTTTTAAAGGCCTCTGTGACGCCCAGGATGGGATCTGGGGGCCCCATCTCCACATGGGCCCACCAGGAGCTGAAACGGGAAATACAAGACATCAGTTACAGCAGCAAGATTTCCACGGTCAGAGACATTTTGGATCTGCCACAAATCCATTTCAACAAGTGGGTGCATGTATGCTACGTACAGGGTAAAGCAATAGGCACTACAATTCAAAGCACCTCCCAGAAGGGTGGAGAAAAGCAACAATTTCAATACAAATCCTATGAGAAGCAGATGGACGGGGTGGCACCTCCCTGAATCACCTTGGGGTGCACAGGATGCATGTGTAGGTTTTTGAAGCAGCCCAAACCTGACCTGAATTCCCAGGCAAAGACTATTCCAAGTAATTTGGCAGTGAGACGCCGAGAGTGCCAAAAGATGAAACCAAAGAAGCAAGGGCCAGTGTAAGAGGATAATGTGACCGCTCCCCCCCCTTCCTCCCATCCCAAGGGGCTTCGGTTTTTATCCTGTTCCCAAACTTGTTAAGGGCGTCATTTGGAGAGCTTGTTAAAAATAGTTTCCTGCGGGGAGGGGAGGAGGGGATGGGGGACATCTGTAATACTTTCAACAATAAAAATAAGTTAAAAAAAAAAATTCCTGGGCCCTACCTTGGATGTAGTGAAAATATGTAGAATCAATACTTTTTTTTTCGGGGGGAGGGGATAAGAATGAAAGGAGTTAACTATAACACCAAACAGAGCCTGGTACAGAGTGAGTACTTGATGTTATCTGGTATCATTGTTACCAAATTATCACACTGTACCCTTATATATAACCATGTGTCACTAGCATGAAGCCTGGTGAGGAAAGTATGCAGAGAATTCAAGGAGCACATGGCCAAAAGGCTTTAAGACAAAATACAGGTCTTTCCTGCTTTTCAATGATTACTACTTAGGTTTTCCTAGTCTCGGGAGATATTATCCTTCTTCCTGCTCAGTAGTTCTATTGCCAGAACTTAAAACCCCTCTCATTTTTTTCATTCTAGGCTTCCTGGTTGTTCCAGTATCTCAGCAATGGTAAGAAACAGATACCTCAAAGCAACTTCTGAACTGGGCCGGAGGAAAGCTTTTGTTATTTCCTATCCCCAATTCAGACCCTGAAGACATGTAGCCACCTGCCTGCCTAGGTCACTGTCACTAGCTGATGAGTAAAAGGAATACTTTGAATGTCAAGGACATATGATAGAGCTTCTAGTAAGCAATTTTCATTTTTAAAAAGATGGCTCTGTCTCCAAGGCCGTCAATCAATGGTGACAGAGCCGATGCCCCTAACCACAAGGACAGAAGGCACCTTGTTAAATGGGGGGAAGAGCACTTATTTGTCATGTTCTTGAAAAAGTTTATTTGGCATAAAAATTCTCTCAGAAACAGTCCTGAGTCTTCTGGCAGAGATATAATTGAGAGTAGCATCTTTTGAGAAGAATTCCAAAAGCAACTTCAAAACATGGAATCTCAAAAATCTAAATATCAGAGCAGGGATACTCAGTTTGATTAGTCCTACATCGGTAATCATGCTCAGGTCCTCCATGCCCTTCACTATTCTGTTCCTCAAAAGGGTAAAGACTCTCTGCCACGCTGTAAGAACTCTGATGTTTTTAAAGAGAGAGTACTAGATAAAAACAAGATGCTCTGGGGACGAAGTTTATGCAGAGAACCAGTGGCCTACAAAGTGATTCCTCTCAATGAACTTTGGAAATCGGCTCAAAGCCTCAGCTATTGACCAATACTGACCAGACAACTGAAAGATGTTAGGCACAGAGTACTCAGATAAGTGTTTTCAATTGAAATGCCTTGCAGTTTCCCTGGGAGCCTGCAGAGTAATTTATAGTTTTTTGTTTTTTTTATCTTCACCCAAGGACATGCTTATTGAATTTTAGAGAGAAGGGAAGGGGGAGAGAGAGAGAAACATCGATCAGCTGGCACCCTGACTGGGAACTGAGCCTGCAACCTATTGGTGTATGAGATGAAGCTCCAACTGAGTCACCTGGCCAGAGCTAAGACTATTTTTAAAAAGTTATTTATTTATTTATTTATTTACTTGGGGGGGG